ATCATGGGCTTGGGGTCTTCTTGGAGGGTGATGGAACGTTCTGGACCTAGAGGCTGTCAACTGAAAAAATAATATCGACTAGTTGTTTTGTCACCAAAGGGTTTATTTGGAAAAGAGAACGGCTTGCAAAGTGCACGCAGGTATGGCACGCCGGGTGCACAGTCCGGCCTGTGTGCCGTGACGGAGGAGTCCTTACATCAGGGAAAGGAAGTTAACCATAAAGTTTATTACTTCTCGCTTCCTCTCCCTTCCTCTCTGAAATCAATAAAAAAAAAAAAGTTCCAGTTAGTCTTTATCAAGGTGGTGGTTGTGCAACATTGTGAATGTGCTAAATGCGACGGAATTGTTCACTGTAAATGATTGATTTTATTATGTGAATTTCACCTTAATTAAAAAATAAATCCCCAACCAGGTCACTCACCAACTGGGGTGGCCTCTGGCGAGTGACCCAGACACTCTGTGGGCCCCCCCCCCGTGAGGTTTTGGGCTTCCCAGGCATGGGAAACCCGGGTATCAAACAATGCCAACCTGCCCGCCCTGGGTTGGCAAGTTAAACAGGCGTCCCACCCTCCTTCCTGGCACATTCACACCAGTTCTGGATCGCCAGGCAGCAAAAGGCCACACGTGGGAAATGCCTTCTGTTTTATTTATTTATTTATTTATTTATTTATTTATTTATTTATTTAATTTTTATTGATTTCAGAGAGGAAGGGAGAGAGATAGAAACATCAATGATGAGAGAATCATTGACCAGCTGCCTCCTGCACACCTCACACGGGGGATTGAGTCCGCAGCCTGGGCATGTACCCTGATCGGGAATCGAACCGTTCCTAAGTCCTGGTTCATAGGTCGAGGCTCAACCACTGAGCTATGCAGGCCGGGCTCAATTTCTTTTTGTTGTTGTTGTTAATCCTCACCAGAGGACATTTCTTCCATTGATTTTTTTTTTTAGAGAGACAATGGAAAGGAGTGGGAGAGACACAGAGAGAGAAACATTGATGTCTCACACCGACTGGTTGCCTCCCTCACGCGCCCCAACCGGAGCCCCAATAGAGCCTGCAACCAAGGTATGTGCCCTTGACCGGAATCGAACCTGTGACCCTAGAACAGGACTTTGGAGCCGGTTGAGGGGTCCTCGCCCCCTTGCGAGGCCTGAGCCCCATCAAGGAG